TTCCTCTTCCAACAAATCAACCAGCAATCAGCTAAGCACCAACTGGTATCTGAAACCATGCTCCTGGTATTATCCCTTAACTCTTGCAAGTTAATACTTGCACTCTAGTGTTCCACGAAGTAAGGTCTTGTACAAGTTCCTCTTCCAACAAATCAACTAGCGATCAACTAAGCACCAACACCCATGCCTCTCCGAGATATCCATGTCTTTTAGTTAAGAAAGAAACTTCAAACTTTTACTCACCAAATATTTGTTTGGTAGCACATGATGCAGCAGCATCATCAATTTCTACAATTTGTTTGAAAGATTCACTGCTCATTCTCTAATGTAACAAACCTAGTATCTGAAGTTATCAATGCAACTACAACATGACAAAAACATCATGATATCTTTCATAGATTATCCAACATACGATATACATATATACTAGATCCTAAGGCAATAGCTAAAAGAAAAATATACAACACTTGCAGTAGGAGATTGTATGTCAATTATTAAAATGATATAAACCCTAAATCAACTGTGTCAAGGAATTGATTCATGAAATGCATACATTGGCAAAAGTCTCATAATGGAACACTCTCTTTTATAGTTGACTAGTAAAACCAAATAAATTAAGGAAGAATAAGACAATTCCCTTCAGAGAATAAAAACATGTTTGTATTTAATGCAAAAAAAAAAATCTAAATAAGTACGAAGAAAGATCTTCTATTAATTAGTTGTGATAAATTCAACAAAAATCAGATATAACATGCAAGCATCAACAAATATTATGTAGTCAGAACACAAATACAACCGCCACTTAAGCGACAATTCAATGTGTATATTAAAAGAACACGAAAGAAACAAGGTATCAGCCTTTCCATTTACTAACTTACGTATGTAGATATTACTTAGACATGAACAATACGTACCTGAGCAGGAATCCTTCCAAACACTGCATAAAGGAACTCGACAAAATTATCAGATATGGCATGGCAGAGGACAAAGAGAGGGTTATATGTTCCACCATTGGTCACCTTTCGAAGCTGTGAGAAGTAGTAGAGGTACACCAGGGCCAAATATCCTTTTAATAGAACAGAAATTGGGTCCATTCCAGTCCCTAGAATCATGTAAATCAAATACCTAATAACGGATCCTGACAGCACCCACATGAAGGAGAGGAAGGAGTCGGAGACAATGAGCTTAACCCGAGACGCTTGGTTGCTGTGTTCCTTCTCTTCTTCTACATCTGTTTCCTTTTTATTTACAAACTCTTTCTGGTCAAGCATTTAGTCTTTGGTCATTCGAAAGAGCAAAAACCATAAGATATATAATTTTCCAAGCAAAACTGATCGCAAGGAGAATGATAGGCACTATGGGATCTCAAAAACTCTTCTTCCTTGTTCGCAAGAATAGCTAAATTGTGTCCATGATTGTTCCTGCATCTACAGTAGGAGAGACAGAGAAGGGAGAGCGAAAGGTATGGAGGGATACATACAGGAAGAAAAAGAGAGTGAGGAGAGGAATAGAAAGAGGAGCGATGGCAACGCAACGGCCTGTTTTTCGTGGTAGAACAGAGAGAGAGGAAAAGAGTAAGATTGCAGCTTATCGTGGTAGAACAGAGAAAGAAGAAGAAGGTAAGAGAAATAGACAAACAAGAGAGAGGGAGGGACTCACTACAGGAAAGATGGCCGCCGGCGACGAGGGATGAAAGAGGGGGGGTGGAGGATAAGGGATCGTCCCCGGTTTCGTGGAAGTAGAAGACCCGCGGCGATTTTGTCCGGGCGCGTAGCCCGTATCCGATGCAGACCGAACCCGACCCAAAGCAAACGACACGGACCGGACGTGTCAGGCTCACGTATCTGCGGGTTTAACATATGAGCCGTCCGAAATATCGAATTTATCCCGGCGTGGACTCCGTCACAGCTTGGACCAAAGTCACTTATGCTTCCGTAGGTATAATTCTGGGCGAATTGGAGTAAAATGATTTAAATTAGAGATCATACAACACCTCCGATTAGTCCGACATCGATGAGTATATTATAATAATTTTTAATTTAAATATTTTAATCAATGGTTTAAATCAATTCAGAGTTATAGACCAATTAATCCATCCGATCATCCTAAATAAATGGTATAAGGCTTTTTCGTTGAATTATCATATTATTCTCGAGTAGATTGAGTTGATTTGATTAAGATTCGAGGGATTAACATTTTCTTTCACCCAAATAAAAACACACATGTGAATTGGCATAGTCCAGTGTAGGGTTTTCATGGAGATAACAGTCGTACAAATATCCTTTGTTTGACTTGAACACTCCTTAAACTGTTATATGAGCTGCTTATCGTATGGTACATTGATTTAATCCTGTTTGCTCTTGTGTGAGGCTCTTATCTTTTATAACCAATTCATGACATTTGTAATAGGCCAATTTCCTATGTTTGGATAAATGAAGCTGAATATAAAAAAATATATTGGCTCAAAACCACATCAGTGTTACCATAGAAGGTTTATAAGACACTTGTAAAGATTTTAGTTTTGTTTTAGAACTGATTTATTTGGATATTTTTACTAAATTCAGCCTTAAAACATTAATTTTTATATCCTATTTTTTGGCCAATTATAACATTAATTTTCAAAGTTTTGTGGCCCAAAATCATGTGAATATTATCAACGAAGGTTTCAAGAAAATTTACAGTAATTTCCAAATATTCACCAATTATAACCTGATTTTTAACAAATACATTTCACCGAAAATACATGAATATTATAAATAAATAAAAGACTAATGTTTCAAAAACTTTCATTACTACCCCATCCAAAAATTGTATAACTTAAATCCCACTCTTAACAAAAAAGAAAAAGAAAATTTTCCATACACCTTGGAAATGAATTTTTAGGGCATAAATAACCAATTTTCTAATTTTATGGCTCTTAATTGGACATTTTCACTACATTCAGCCCTTAAAAGGCTAAATTTGTGGCAATTTCCTAACTTTGGTCAATTATAACCTGAATTTGTAACCTTTTTGCCCAAAAGAACATGAATATTATTGTAGAATATATTCTGATATGTTTGTGATTTTTTTTTTTTCGGAGCTAAGTCACACTATTTTGAATTTGGTTAATCTTTTTTTTAACTCAAATTCAAAGACAATGTAACTAATATCTTACTATTTCAAAAAAATATAATACTTTTATGATACCTTGAAAATGACTTTTCAAGGCCTAAGCAACCAATTTTTCAATTTTTATGACACTTAGCTGGGAATTTTCACTTAATTTTGTCCTTAAAAGTTTGAATTTCAATTGTTTTCATGAATATAACCTAAGTTTACAAAGGCTTTTATGATTTTTTGTTGTCTAGAGTTGAGTTACACTATTTTTTTTAACTAGGTTACCTAACTCCATAAAAAAAAAAAAAAAAGTAACTTGGTTCAAACTATTTCAAAAAATTATTTAAAAAAATCATGACACCTTGGAAATGAATTATTAAGGGCTAAATAATAAATATTACAATATTTATAGCCCTTGATTAGACATTTTCACTAAATTTAATCCTTAAAAATAACTTGATAATTTTCCATTTTTGGTCAATGACAACCTACATTTATAATTTTTTTGGCATAAAATTATATGAATATTATGAGAGAAGGTTTCTAAATAATTTTGATAAAAATTATTTTTTTCAATAGTTGAGTTACACTATTTTTTGTGTAGAATTACACTTTTTTAATAGGATTATATATTTATCAAGCAAATTTTCTAGTGTTGTGATGATGCCTACAATTATTGATAGTAATAATTAATTATTTTTAATTACACTTTATGTGACCAAGATTGAAACTAGGGTTTTGTAGGAGCAATTCTTGCATCATTTAAAAATATGCATTGTTGATTGAAAAATCTTAACCATTTTTTTATCATAATTAAGAAATTATTTCAGTTAGGATGATCTTCTCAAAAACAAATCATGGTGATGTTATTCATTTTAACAAAATTCTTCTTATTAGTCTATGAGATACATATAGTATAAAATTATTAAAGTTATTACTATATGTTAATTAATTATAGGTGCTATGTAATTTAATCATGTGAGTGATGACATATGTGACATAATATTCAATTTTTTTACTTATTATTATTATTTTCTCATTTTATATTATCTATTGGATATATTATGATATTCTTGGATATGTATAATTAAAATTCGATCATGATAATGAGATAAATTCATCTATAAACACATACCTTAAATATTCCTAGCCATAGATAATTCGAGATGGATATCGAGATAGTCGAATAAACTTATGTACTATATACTCGTCTATATGATAGAGATAATTGATCTCATAACTGCTTGTATAGGAATACTAAGGATATAATACATATGCTTATTGAAGAATTATGTGAATTAATATATTTTTGGTTTATTTTCAAGTGTCATAGGGTCATCCTATATCAAATTATCTCAAACTTTCATCAATCTATTAGGTTATTATTTTAACATCAGTAATATTTTTTAAAAAATAATTTTAGGATAATTAATCGTTAAAATTTAGATTTCTTTTGGTAAAATTGATTTTTTTTGCTCTCACTAATTCATGAACTTAAATGAATTCATTGACTTCAAACAGATTCAAATATTTTGTGAGAGCAAAACCGATATTTATAAAAATAAATCTCAATTAAAAAATTAAGGCACCATATGATAGATAATGATTTTAGGAGAGTTCATTCGGTAAATCGCCAAGAACAATTGACACACCAATTTCTGAAGATGAAGAAAAGGGGTGAAGAAATGCTCTTTAGACGCTTCATTGTTGAGATGTAGACCGTCACATAAGCAACACGGGAGCTCAATTGGAATTGACTCGCCGCAAACCCTCTCCTCACCCATCATGTCATCTTTTGCGGCCCATTGTCCATTCGCACAGCCCATTGTCACTGCAACCACCTTATAAAATGCAAGTCGCCTGCAACCCAAGAATCCATTGTCTTGTTCATACCGAACGCTCCTATTCTCTCTCCTCAAATGGCAGGGAAGCACTTCCCCACAGGTGGCCTGAGATCCACTTCCTTTCCCTTCTCCTCCTCCCTCGCCGTTACTTCCCTCTCCCTGCTCGCTCTCTTCCTCACCTTCTTCTTCTTCTTCCACAACAATTCCTCTTCCTCTCGCTGCCTCTTGATCTCCGACCCCCTCGACTCCCCGCTCCACCTCTCCAAGCGAAATCCCAACCCTAGCTCTGATGCCGGCCCTCCTCCCGAGTACTCCTTCGTCGCATCCCTCGAGAAGTTCCTCACCACCCGCGCGCCCCCTTTCTCCTCCTCCTCCCCCGCCGATGCTGCTGCATCTCAGTCCGCCGTGCCTGACGATGGTGATGTTCCCACCGCCGCCGCCGCCAAGGCGCTCGACGACTCAATGTGGAAGGAGGAGACGGAGAGGCTTTACGGCGATCCCCTAGATCCGTGGTCGGCGCCCTCCGTGGCCCGGGTCTACGTGTATGACATGCCCTCCAAATTCACCTACGATCTACTGTGGCTGTTCAGGAACACCTACAAGGAGACCGTGAACCTAACCTCCAACGGCAGTCCCGTGCATCGCCTGATCGAACAGGTATTTTGACTGTCTTCTCTGTTTCCAAATGGGTTGTTGAACTCTAGTCGAAGAATGAGGGGATTCTTTTGAAAAATGATATATGATTCAGTGCATTGATTTAACGTTATTGAGGAGTTGAAACCACTTGCAAATCTAGTGCGTTGAGCTAATGACAATGATTGGTTGGAACCACTTAGATTCTACATCAATACTAGAAAAAAAATAACAGTGAGATGTTTGAAACTCCATATACTTTGTTGGGAAACCACATTATGTCAAAACAGTACTTGTCAGCTCCACAGAGGGGTCTTCAATCCCAGAGTTGCATCTCATGAGGTCTGCTGTTTAGAAGTGAACTTAAAATGACTGGATTGATATTTGGGACAGCTTGCCAATTCTAAATTTATAATTTCTTATGGTGAACCTTGACTGCTCTTGGATGAACATCATATGGGACCGTGATGGTGCATAAAATTTATAATCAATGCATAAAATGAGTCCACTTCGTTGATGCTCTTGGTTGGTTGAAGCTCTTATAAAGAGCATGGAATTTGTAATTTCTTTTAATTAAGTACTTATTGTCATTAGTTATTTCTTATCTGATTATCAAAACCATTTCCTGAAAGCTAAATTTGACCAATTTGTTGAATTTGTGATTTCATGGTGTCTAATAATGTTGTGTCATTGTGTCATCATTTCTTTATGATATTTGAGCAAAAAATAACTCAGGATTGGTATCCTAGCACATAACTATATTCTTATAATGCTTCCTTGTCATTGTAGAATCTGACTTTAGAAGCAAACTTTCTTTTTCATTGTTTTTTGCAGCATTCTATTGATTACTGGCTTTGGGCAGATCTGATTGCTCCAGAATCTGAGAGGATATTGAAGAATGTTATTAGGGTTCATAGACAGGAGGAGGCGGAACTTTTCTACATTCCATTTTTCACAACAATTAGCTATTTCTTACTTGAGAAGCAACAGTGCAAGGCACTTTACAGGGTCTGATGAATTATCGAAATATTTATTTTCGGAGCTGTTGTTTTGTCATGTGATTTTGGATCATGTCAATTGTGGTACTTAAATAACTGACATTTATGTTTTTATACTTGCAGAAAAGATAGATAAGCTTAGGGCAGTGACTACTTACAACTGTCAACTTATTTTTTCTCTATACCGAAGAACACTAAGAGGTCAAACCTTAGTCAAGTTATCTATCTATTAATTTTAAATTATCTACTTTTGGCAGGATGCCTCTGCATAAGAAAAGCGAGGCAAGTAGAGAAAGTGAGACAAAAAGAGAAACATTATCTAACCATATGATTTAGGATGCATATAATAATTTATTTACATTTTTGGGGCAAAAAGCTAATATAGGAAAATAACAAGCTAACTACAGTATACCTATGTGAACATTTTTGGATTGGATCCTATATTGGGACACTACAATAGCTGCTAAAATCAATGGCAAAAATTCATAAATATTGCTTGTTAGGTTTCCTCCCTTGTCTTATTTTCTCAGTCTTATTATGATATTTGTTAGGATTCTTTTGGAACTTCTCTTGATAGATTGATTCTAGGATGCTTTTGATGGTCAAACCATAGCTTAATGATAAGACCCTAAGGTCTTATCGCGGAAGAAATGAGAGAAATGAGGATGATAATGATCACTTCGAGGGGATCGGCCTCCTTGATCGCTTCGAGGGGATCGACCCTCCTTGATCGCTTCGAGGGGATCGGCCTCCTAGGGTTTGTCAAGAGACAGAATGTTATTTTTCATAGATCTGCACCGTTGCTGCAGCCCCCTTGCTCTGCATCTTTGCCGCTGCCGCCGGTTGCCACTGCAGCCTCAACCCCGGCCGCTTCAACGCCACCTCCCTCTTGTTGGTTGCCATCACCGCAGCCTCAACCTGGTTGCTCGGCGATTGCTTCCTTGGGTCATGGCAGTCACAACCGTTGCCTTTCAGCCTCGGCGCTCTCATCTCACACAGTGACAAAAACACAGGGCAGCAACTCTTCCTCCATCGCAGCCACCGCAGCAGCGAGTCCTTGCTGGCGCTGCCCCCAACCACACCACCATCGTTGCCTCTCAGCCCTCAGCAGCAGCGATCCCTCCACGCAGCGACTGCAACAAGCATCGTTGCCTCTCACCAGCGCCTCCTTCCGCAGTGTGACAGAAACAGAGCAACGCTACCTTCCATCCGCGCCGTCACAGCCATCGCAGCGGTGAGCCCTTGGCGGTGCTGCCCTAGCCGCACCACCATCGCTGCCTCCAAGCCCTCAACAACAACGATCCCTCTACGCAGCGACCGCAACAAGCATCACTGCCTCCCACGCGGCGACCGCAGCTACATCCTCGCATCCTCGCAGCAACCCTTCATTCCCATAGTGTTGCCACCGACTGCGTCATAACAGTAGCACCGAATAGGGCAGTGATTGATGCCCTTGACCAACACCAAAAATAGGAGTTGAGATTATAGATTTGCAGTCTTACGAAATGGCCACCGATAACTCAATGAAAGCACAAATGGAAGTATTGGAAATTAGAATTGAGAACCGGTTACAAGAAGTACTTAATGATTTTAAAAAGGACATACTGGGGAGCCTTAGTAAATTTCAACAAGGTGGGAGCTCAAGTTCTACATTGCACAGATCTGGAAATACTAGAAAAGGGCCCCAAGATTGTGACACAATCTACTCAGACATGAAGGTGGATGGACAACTCTCAAAAATTTGTCAGACTTCTACAGTGTTGGAATATCAGAGTAGGTTTGAAAGATTATCAAATCAAGCTAGAGATTGGTCGGAACGATAACTTTTGGATACATTTATTGAAGGTCTTATTCCAGAGATTCAGTGTGAAGTTAAGGCTCGTCAACCCCACACTATGATAGCTGCGATCTCATTCGCACATCTACATGAGAAAAAAATCAACAGGGAAAATCATGGAAACAGAAGTGACAACAACCGGATGATTAGTAAGCCACTGGCCCCATCTATTCCCAACCAAAGTCTTGACACCCGAAGACTAACCCAAGAAGAACTCAATGAAAGATTAGTAAAGAGTTTGTATTATGATGAAAAATGGAGAAGGAGGCAGGTTGGGCGGCGAGCGGCGTCG